GTTGCGACCAATTCGGGGTGCGACCAGAGTCACGGAACGAATTAAATTCATAACCCGAGGTACCACTGTATAAGCTGTCCTTTCTCCTCATGACCCTGGATGTCATTAAAAGACATAACAAGTAAAAATATGAGAACTACCTCAAAAACATTTAAAGCCTAGAAGATCATAGGCTGAATGCACCCAGGGCTGCACTCTCAAAAGGTGATTTCCTCTGCTGATAAGGCTTTAAATTCCATCATGAACACCCTGAATTGGGCCTGAAAGCAACTTGCAACAGTGAAGATGTTTCAGCCAGGAGTTACATGGGACCTCCAGGAGACACCTCTCACTACCTTTGATGCTACTTTTCTGGGGTAGCTGCAATTTTCATCTTCAAGGGCTGCTGCTGAAAAAAAAACACATGGCAATAAACCAGCCTTGAGGTTATCACTGCATGAATCTTAGAATTCTTGGTTTATCAGCCAAAGCTGCTGTGGCTATCCAGCATTAATGCTGAATCTAGAAGACTACAAAATTGATCCTTAAGTGGGGAACTTTTTCTAAAACAAGCATTATTTCCCAAATCCTGATGTCCATCCCCCAGCGTTATTAACTGCCGTGTCTTATTTTATTCCTTCACATCTAAATCCAGTATCATCTGGAGACATTCAGAGGCCCTAGAAACTTCAGACCTTAAGTCTGCAAGAAAGGAAAAATACAGCTAAGTATCAACAGAATATTGGTGGCTTCTGGCTAAACCTGAGAATGACACTTCCCTGCGGTTTCATATTGGAATTAAACAGAATTTTCCAGTCTTTAACAATACACTGGCATTGCTGATACTAGCATCAAATCGTACAAGCTATCTTTTAATGCTATTTAAAAATAAATATATTAATAATATCATCCTATAGACAGTTGATTAGGTAAAACACCCACTTTTTCCAGATGGTAATAACAAGCACAGGATTAGTGTTAGTTTTCAAATCTATGTATGTTTATGCCTGTGCATTTGGCATCTAAAATTTATTTATATTTAAATTCAAAAGAGAGTGCTTTAAATTATTAATAACTAGATAGCACATCAGTTTTGTTTTTTTAAAAAATAAGCTTGTAATATTTTTGCATGTGTAGACAACTTCTAGCAGTTTGACTCCTGTTAAAAACAATTCCAGCTGAGTCCACCACTGTCAGATATGATGGATGAGCAAATTATTGCATGCTGTGATATTTTCAAATGTTGGCCTTCATTAGTGGAACTGAAGTTATTTTCAAATGTATATGATTTTTTTTGATAAAAAGAAATATGATTTATGAAAATGCATATTCCAGAATAATGGCATTTCATAACAAGCCCAGCCCTCTCTGAAATTTTGTAAAATAATACATAGCTTATTCTTCAAATTCTGTTTGTGGTCTATTATAGCTCTTACATTGTTAATGTCACGTATTCTACTGTTTATTTGTACTGAATTCTAATCAGCATGGAATTTGGCTCATGCAATCCAATCGTTCTACAAGGATTAAAGATAAAAAAGATGTAAAACAGGCTTGGGGTTTCTATGCTAAATTGGATTCTGTGTCCTTAGCATCCCTTTGATCCACAGAGAACACCATTTCCTTTGACAGCAGTCCAAATATGGAGGCAGGTCCCACATGCACAGATGCTTTTGTAAGTTGTTTCACTCCCCTTCTCATCTCCCCCTGGGCTACCAGACAGCATATGGTTTGCTATGTTGGGTCGTCTGTCAGAACTGGACAAAATAGGCCATATGCTACTGGCTGACCACAGAGTGAAGAGTATGCATTTTGCCAGGGTTAAAATGGAAAGAAGTTTAACCATCACTGAAAAATCTAAGCAACAACTGTTCTGTCAGGTTGCAGAGCAGAGGGAGGAAAGAGAAGCAGGAGACCTTCTCTGGAAAATCAAGTGACTATTTTTAAACATAGTGGATTGGGCACAAGGGCTGAAGAAAGAGAGAAAGAAATTGCTCCAAGTAAGGAATTGCATGGAAAATAGCACTACCGCATTCCACACTACTAACAAGGAGCCAATGCTTATTATATTTCAAATATTTATATTTCAAATTTAGTCACTGCCCATCTCACTCAAAGAGTGACTCTGGGCAGTTTACAATAAAATAAGAATAAATGCTGATTAAAATACAATAAAACAATGCACATAAATAAATAATGTCTTCCAAGACACTGATGGTAAATAAAGGTTATTTACCTATTATTTTGAATTGTGGACTGGCAGCATTTTGTAAAGGACAACACTCCAATACTGATAGTAGCGATGGTCAGGATTTTCTGGAAGCCATCATAGATCCAAAATGAAATTAACAACATGTCTGTCAGCAGAGTTCACTGTTGTGCAGGCTGTCCTGCAACTCAGAATAAAACTATTCACATCAAAAAGTCTTGCTGCTGATTTAAAAGATCCACTCTGTACACAGAATACTAACCTTAAGGTGACATTTAACAGGATCCTGAAGCTATTACAATTACCCTTTAAGAAAACACCAGGAGCTGAACAGGAAAGGAGAAAACAAAATCCCTTTAGGTGAGACATTCACTCACAGTAATTAGAATCAAAACCATACTTTCCAATATGATAGGTACAGTATGTTAAGAATATTACATAATTGCTACAACAGAATAGCCGTCTTAATATGATATTAGTAAGCAGAGCATTTTAAAAAAGACCCAACATAAGAATAACATATGGAGAGAAAATCTAAAGTAATTAAGTCATAAATACAGCTCTGATTTTATTCTAGCTCTAGTTTGTGGTTTATTAATATAACATTGACTCCACCCTTGATAATCCAAATATTATCCAACCAAATGGAGCACCTAATTCAGTTCAAGATCCTTAAAGAAATAAAAGTGACAAAAATGAATATACTCTTACCTGAAAAATAGCAAAACCTTGGCCATTTGCAGAAATTGTAACTCTAACAGGCTGTGTAGCTGGAAACTAAAAGAAATGGCAGGTTTTAGTATGGTGAGAAAAGCATACCAAACTGAATGAATTGCCTGAAACTCATACTGCTTTTTTTACTACAGTACCTCTTTGGTCTTGAGAACAAAACAGTTTTCACAATCAATTTGGAAAACGGTTGGACTTTCTTCCAAGGATCCATTCCCTGTTACATCTATTTCTGTCACAGAATCAGCTGTGAGTGTTGCAAAGGTACTCAACACCAGCAGAGATAGTGTAATGTCCTACCCAGAGAAGAAAGAACAATTCTTGTTAATATGAATGTGGACGAAGTAAGTAGGTCAGCCAAGTTAGCAGGCAGTACCCAGTGAAGCTTGGCTGATCTCAGAAAGCAAGTAGTGGACCTGGCTAGTACTTGGATGAGGAGACGTAATCTGGAAATCCTAGAGCAGTGGGCTAGATTGGGAATTTTTTAAAAAATGGTCTCCTATGCATATTCAGTCCAAATACTCATTTAAGTATTGTGTGTTATTAATAGAAAGGGCAAAGTCAGCAAATAGTCATTTATAGCAGCAACTATAGTTTCATTTTGCAAGGCATACATTTATTCATTCAGTAACTGTTACAGAAGTAAGACAAACTGGCCTGGTTCATATACAGCATTGAGACATAATTTGATTTGCTTTTGGCTTAACATGATGCATGAGCTCAGCCATTGTGGCTTATCGTTATATCAGAACCAGGCCACTATGGCTTGTTCAATAAAGCACATTTATAAAAAGCTTATCTCAGCAATGTGCATGAACCCATAACATCACCTTGGTGTAAAGATATGAACTTAGGTCTTCCCAGCCCAAATTCACCTTTCTGTCTATTTTTAAGTAGGGCTGATGCATCAAATGCAACCATGCCTTTGGCCCATTTAGAAAAGTAACTGAATCTTTGGCATGCACACAGAGTAGAAGGTTCTTGCTGGCTTCCTTAGAGAATCAAAATCTTATCATTCTTAGAAACATTTATATATACATTTCTGGCAATCCAGAAGGCCCTGACTGAGGAGCTCATCAATCAAACTTCACACAGTGCTTTGCAGATTCCTAGTTGGAAGTTTTAAATGAAAATAATACATTCCTGGAGTCACATAAAAGTTTAACGATTAATTCTAAAAATGCCTGATAATTAGTTTTCTTGAGATAATTTCTAACCTGTGAAGAATAACCTCCCAGGTGGTTTCTTTGCTTGCTTAGCCATTTCATAATTGGAATCCCTTTTGTTGAATAAAATGAGACAAGAGAGCATATAACCTACAACTTCAATATCTGCAGAATGTGGCTGCCAGGAACTGGAGAGTCCAGAAGATGGTGATGTCCAGAATCCTAGTTCTTCTGGAAAAGAAAAAGAAACAAAACTCATAAGAAAAGGATACAACTTTTGTAATGTAGGAAAGATTTAGTCTTCTGAAGTTTATATACTGACAGTTATTTTTTTCAGCAGATTGAAGTCAATTACTTCTTAATCCTATAGTTTCTCATATTTAAAGATAACTATCCCCCCCCCAATCAATTTCACATTTATCGGATTAATAAACTAGGATTTGTTCTGCTACATATATGGCTTTTCTGTACTGCAACTTTCAGCTGTTTGTCTCCCATACATCAACTGACTAGAAATGAAACTGGCTAAAGAAAACCCTTTCTGATTTACAACCCCTACCTGTACTTTGACCATAGTGATGACTAGATGTTCCATTCAGTGTATAACATAGCTCCCAACTGGTAAATTTTCCTGCTTCTCTTCCATTCCCATCCATGCCAGGAAAGCAAGTACCAATTGTCTTCCCTTCAATCTTTTAAGTTGCATTTAATGGTTTCATTTGGGCTAGAAGGAAAAACTTGGCAAAACTCTTGTCAATTTCACCCAGTTAAAAAACAAAGAAAAAAATGGCCAGCATTTCACAGACCATCTGCTGAACTTTAAAAAAAACAGCTACAATGGAGGAATGGTTGCTGAAGATGATAGAATTTGCTGAGATGGCCAAATTGACCTGTCTGACTAGAGAAAAGACAGTATCTATGTTTATTGCTGACTGGAAACCCCTTATGGATTTTTTGTGTAAACAGAAAAAAATGAACTTATGAGTTATGGTTTTGACGATTAGATAGGATAGATTATAGAAAGAAGGGAGTCACGATATAACTTTAGAGAAAGAGGTAAATCTACAATTGTACTTCTAACTTCTGTAAAGAAGATCAGAAGCCACTTCTTTCTTTTTTCAGACTTTTCAATCTTTTCTATTTTTCTTCTACCTTATTTCTTTTTTTTTTGCACTTCAGCTTTCTCTTTTATTTCTTCCTTTTACTTTTTTCCTTCCTACTCTATTTTAGTTTCTATTAACTTTTCCTCATTTTTTAAACTTTCAATAAAATTATAATAAAAACAACAACACAACTACAGGTTCCCATCACTTGAGCTAGAAGGGGAAACTTGGCAGAACACTTGTACATCAAGAAGAACACACAAATTATAAAATCTTACTGCTGGAAAGGCCATTTAGGCCATCAGATCTAACTGTCTGCTTAGTGCAGAAATTCAGATTAACTTCCGTCTTACTAAATTTTAAAAAGTGGCGAATTGAACAACTAGTTGTGGGATTGCTACAGATGATAGGCCCTATGAATGTAATCTACATTTTCTTTATAGCAGCACAAAGAGCACAAATCAGGTAATAGTTCACATTCAATTATTAATTGCTACCTGTATATTTTTTAATGTAAATAGAATCTGTAACATTATGGAACTGAATTGAATTCAATACTGGAAGGTTCCTTGCAATTGTATTATAACAATAAGCATTTTAAACATGACTAAAAGACCTTTAATATCATAAATAACTTTTAACTAGATCACATCAACCTATTTTGTGTTTCTTTTCTTTTATTACACTGGCATATCTTGCCACAAGGGTAACTGGAATGTCAGATTACTCACCCAGGCGTAAAGACTAACTTACACTACCTTTTCGTTCTGATCTCTCATTCAGTTTGTCGAGATCTCCCTTTGCTGCTGTACTCTCAGCAAGCGATAACGCATAAGTCACAAGAGCCAGTGTATGATTATCCGATATGTTACATAATTGAAAAGTCCAGTGTTCTTTTTTTAAATTTATCATTCTGGAGAAAGAAAAATAGCATCTTAAGAAATACTTTACTGTAAATTACAATAATTAGTAGCAGTCTTTATGGTGAACTGTTAAATTGCAAATTTATATCCAAGATAAAAACATAATGCTAAAATGTGGGATGTGCAAGCAAGCTGGAATTGAGCAAGAATGCACTAACACTAAGTCTCTAAATATGCTTGAGATGAGTGGCCTCTTGAAACCTCAAAAGACAGAAGACAGTTAGCAAGGAAAGGTAGTATCAGTTTGTACAAGCCATATACAGCACATCTCAACACCATGAGACTAGTAATTCTCAAAATTCCATGTTTGGAAGAAAAAAGTATTTGCTGCCTGCCTTAATTTTGAGCCTAACAGAAATATAAATTACTGATGATGATGATGATGATGATAGCTGCAACCCATATGGAGTTTGTATGTGTCTTTACATTATAATCCCATGAAAACTGATTTGCACTACAGAATGAAAATGCCTCAATAACGTTCCCATGTTCAAACAGTTCCAGTAACTATTAGGAGGCACACAACTATTGACTTAGAATCAGATGATGCTGGAAGGCTTTGAACTAACATTGTTCCTGTTAGAATGAGCATAGCAGCACTATGACTTCTACGTATTGTGGGCTTCTCCCTATTTTTATCTTGGGCCAAGCCAAGTTGTTTAATTCCACACAAAGGAAACAATTATTTCAGAAATGTAAATGTGAATATATGTCATTGTTGTGTCATGCAGGCATAACTATCAGCACTCAAGTGCTCTTTCATTACAAAACCTTTTGAAAAGATCTTTACCTACTAGGAGTGTGACTCTTTAGGAAACAAGAATCAATTCATGCTGCAAAAGACTTTCCTGCCCTAGCCCACTTCATAAAAGAAAAGAATCTCCCTGAATACAAAAGCTACCCACTCCTGCACAGCTATTAATTAAGGTATTAATCCCTCCACTAATCAAGCAGAATGTCATTCTGCAGAGATAAAACCTCAACTGAGAAGAGCAAGACACTATACACTAGCATAAGAGGTCCCAGGTTCAATTCCTGGCACTTTCAAGTAGAACTGGAAATAGCTCCCAACTAAATCTGTGAGCTTCTGGCAATCAATATAAATCAACCTTCCTCTACTGTCCAGATGTTTTATTATACCCCAACTCCCATAAAACTAATTCAACACACCTGGAGGAAATCAGATTGGGAAAAAAGGATTGGTTGCCTGACTGAGAACACTGCAGCTTCAAATGCATTCTTTGGCATTATACTGATTTAAAGTACTAGCCCGTATTGTAAACAGCTTCACTGTACTTTTTTTTCAAGTATATTAATATTAACATCACTATCATTATTACCTTACTGAATTGATACTCTAATAGAGCAGTCAAAATGTACGCTGTATGCGAAAGAGAACAGCTAGTGCCTCCTTGCAGTTCAGTACGTAGAGCTCTTCCTCAAATTCCCCACTGAATTTCAGACAGCTGAGAATCCAAGCAGCTGTCTCTCCAGGATATACAGATCAGTATCAATGTATGGCTGCGCTTGAATGAAACTTCTTAATACAAAAACTGATAACCCAGAATGAAATTATAATGAAAGCATACTGCTAAGCACTTTCACTCAATCTAATTCTTTCTCATAAATGCAAAGTTGCTAGTCAATTTAAACTAAGGGATATGCAGACAAGGATCTCCAGGACAGACTCTTCTCTCAGTCCCATCATCATTAGTGGTACATTTGATGGGAACTTGGGAGAGACTTCTCAGCAACCGCCGTCAAGCTCTGAAACTCCCTGTTGTTTTTCTGGCAGGCAAAAAATTTACATTACTCACATTGAGTTTCATTTGCTTCTGGAAACATGGGGTACATCCAATAAATAATAAATAGAAAACTAAGAAGAAATCCTCTGGTTGCAAACGCAGCAGCGTACTTAGCATCAAAATGGCAGGGAAGGAAGAGAGAAAAGCTGTAAGTCTCTAATAAAGCTGCTCTGTATTTGCACCAGGATTACCATAATCGTACAGCATAGTAACCTGGCCTTCTAACTTCACCATCTCTACTCAGTCACTCATGCCCTGGTCACCTCCCATATGGATTACTGTAATCTGCTCTACTTGATGCTGACCTTAAAGAGTATTCGGAAGCTTCAGTTGGAGTGGGCAATTATATGTGCACCTAGATCTGTGCATGTTACATCTCTGCTCCGTGAGCTGCATTCGTTACCAATTTGCTTCCAGGTTCAATTCCAGGTGCTGACGACAACCTATAAGGCCCTACATGGCATGGGGCTGGGTTATTTGAGCGACTGTCTCTCTCCAGTGACATCTACCCATCCCATCAGGTCCAGCAGAAGAGGCTTGTTGCAGGTTCTGTCCTCTAGAGTTTCATCTGGTGGGTCCCAGGAGGATGACCTTCTCTGTTGCTGCACCCGCCCTACAGAACATCATTTCCCCCAAGGTCAGGCTGGTCCCAAACTTGCTAGCCTTCTGGAAGGGCCTGAAGTCCTAGCTTTGCCATCTGGCCTGAGGATCAGGGAGTGGTGTAGAGCCCATAAAATGGCTGTACTGTTCTTAAATGACTGTGTTCTCCCAGAGACTGTACTATACGGCTTGTAATTGTTTAATTGTTTTTAATGTTTGTATTGTTTGTATGGCTGTTTTATTTTTTTATTTTTTTGGTGCTGTTTATATTTTAATTGTAAGCCACCCAGAGTCACGAATGTGAGATGGGTGATTATATAAATTGAATGAATGAATGAATCTTGTTTAATTGTTTTTAATGTTTGTATTGTTTGTATGGCTGTTTTATTTTTTTATTTTTTTGGTGCTGTTTATATTTTAATTGTAAGCCACCCAGAGTCACGAATGTGAGATGGGTGATTATATAAATTGAATGAATGAATGAATCTTGTCCACACTTTGCAAAGTGAATCCATTTCAGTGATTTTGCCAGGCAGGGCCAGTAGCATCTGTGGCGGGGGGAAGGGCTCAAAATCATCAAAATCTCAGATACAGCATTGCAACGCAAGCCCCACTCCTTCCATAGGTGTCACAATGTCATTCATCATTCTAAAGGGGCAAGGTTAGCATTGTGATGCTCCATCCTCCATCTTGCTAGTTTTACACACACATCGCGCATGACGCTGGGCAGGGCACTGGGTGGTTCATGTACCTAGTAATAATCAGCAGCGGCAATTGATGCTGCTGACTCTCATCTTCTCCCTACAGATCACCAGGATAAAAGGGAGAAAAAAAGCCTCTTAAGCTAACTTAGCTTCAGATATGATCATAGAGGTAAAATCCTTTGGGTACATGAATACTATTCCCTGGCCTCACTGTAGTAATTTGTGAATAAATATAAAAGTGAAGGAAGATACATCAATATACAGTTTTCCTAACCACTGCTACTACTAGGGCATAGCTCAAAATACATTTGAGATTTTTTAACATAAAAAACATATGGTCCTATTCTGTTTTCCATACAGTTGCATCTTGAACAACTTTCTGCTCAGCTTTGAGAGGGCAGGAGGGATTGAGAGAGGGGGGAGAGAAAGAAAGCTCAGTACAACTCAAACTTACTCCTCCACTGCAGCTGGTTCTTTTTGATGTTTCCTAGCCAAGAAAGGAATGACAAGGTGGATCCAGGAAGAGGTGAATACTTTGTTGCATGATGGAATGATCCTGCCAGCTTTAAAAGAGGCAGTAATGTACCCTTTCCTGAAAAAAACCTTCCCTGGATTACAGCATGCAAACTTCTGTACAATCACAAATACCTTTGGAGCAAAATGTTGCAGAGGGCACTGGTCATGTAGTGCAGATGTCCTTGGAAGAAAACATCTTGATTTTTTTCTGTAGGTTCAGGCATATTTGGGGACTTAATCAGCCTTGATCATCCTGATGGATGGCTTCCTACAAAACAGAGACAGACAACTCTGTAATCCTGAGGGATCTTTCAGAGGTGTTTAATCGGGTTTTCTGATTTGTCCCTGGACAAGGGGAATTGGGGGAACAGTTCTGTAGTGGTTTTACTCCTAGCAGGCACCATCTCAGAGAGTAGTATTGGATAGCTATGACTTGGCATCTTTTGACTTGACACAAGTCAGTGTCTTTGCTCTTTAACATCCATATAAGGCCACTGGGTGATCATCAGATGTTTGAGGGTGGCATATGCTGACGACACTCAGTTTAATGTCTCTATAGCTTCTAAACCAAGCAAGGTTTCTGCATGTCTTGAACTGATGCTTGGAGACAGGGATGGATTGGATGAGACCCATAAATTGAGATGATTTATACATCATCTCACATCATATCTAATATTTGTCTTTTTTTCCTGTTCGTCCTTCCTGAGACTTGGAATCTAGAAAATCAGTTAGCAGTGGTCTTCACTTTCCCTAGATTTATGCTTATAGAAAGAGTATAAATTGCAAAATCCAGGAATCAAAAAAGTTTAAGGCTAGTGGCTTTTTTTTTTTTTTAACTGATTGGTTGCACAACAAAAAGGAAATTAGAAAAAAAAAATCGTAGCAGCTTGCTAGTGGAATGAAAGATCCAGAAAGCTAATGGTCTCTCCTTCACTTGGTGTGTTCATACAGATCCTAGACATACATCTATCAAGGATGCTTTAATTTGGAAGAAGTAGGGCTCAGTGGCCTAAATGGCCCATTTTATGATGTGGATTTGAGTTGTAATAAAAAAACTATGAAAACTACATACTGTGTGACAATATAAGTACTTACCACATACTCCCAGAGGGATCACTCTTGCGAAAAGCACTGAAAGAGCCATCAGGTCTTTTATAGAGAAGCTTTCTTTGATAATCTGAACAAATGAAATCTGAGAACAGTATTGAACAAACCAAGCAGTCTGCAACGGCAGGAGATGCAGTTTCAGGGAAGGCTCTGAAAGCCTTATCACCCACTGCAAGCTAATAGCCTGATCTGCTAAAAGACAAGATCCACAAGGACTGAATTTACTCAAGCAATGTTTATAGGTTTCCATTATCAAGTGTAAATAACATAATATAGAGATAGGCAACTTCTGAGGGGCTGAAGGCTGAAATTCAGCTTCCCAATCTTCTGAAGGATAAAAGAAAGATATCCAATGACAACGTAACATCACTGGAAAGGGCATTTAAGAGATTAAGGATGGGAATGGGAACAGGGAGGCAAAAACCTAGTATTTCTCCTATTAACTCCACACCAGAACCTGAAAAATAATATGAAATAATGCTACCCAAAAGTGATCATTTTGCCAAGGAATATCAGCAGTACCATTTCAGGATTTGGGGGGCTGCAAATAAGGTCCTGGTGGATTGCATGCAGCCCATGGGTTGTCTACAGTGGGGCAAAAAAGTATTTAGTCAGCCACCAGTTGTGCAAGTTCTCCCACTTAAAAAGATGAGAGAGGCCTGT